CAGGATAATTGTATGTTGGAAAAGGGCATTTCTGTAGACACTGTATATATACCCACAAACAAGCCTAGATGTTAGAAAACTCAGGACCCTTATAACTTTCTAACTAGGTCACCTGAATAAAATGGAAAGGAGCTTAAAGATCTTTTTTTTCTTGTAGAAAATGTATTTGGAAATGTATTGCTTTTCAACACCAACTTCAAAATGGCTAATAAATAATGAAGTAAAATTGAATCACCAAAATGCACTCATGAGTAAAGAAAAGTAGCGCCACAATAAAAACACATTGAGATTCAGCAATTTCAATAAAAAATGGCCAATTAAAAACATCAGAAAAAATTTAATGCACAGACAATTTTATGTGATTCCAGAAGGGCATTCATTTTATTTCATTTTATTACCAGAATATCCTCTTTAGTATGGGTATTTCAAATGTGGGATGCCACAGCTGAGAAGGTCTTTCTTTAGGCACTATTTACCTACTGCTAAAAATGGGAGGAATGAAATATTGAATGTAATATCCATGCATTATTATGCAAGAATGCAATATTTCAAACATTCTAGTCCTTGTAAAGTCAAGACATCCTGGAATCAAGCTTAACTTCTGATGACTTCATGGACACATCCATTATATTTCCTGGTAATAATAAATTAGTAGTTTGCCCTTGCATTCTTTCAGATTTTTTTTTTCAGATACTCTACAGCAGTGGTTCTCAACCTGTGGGTCGGGACTCCATTTGGGGTCGAACGACCATTTCACAGGGGTCGCCAAACAACGCAGTCCGCCATTTTTTTCCCCTTTTCCTTAGCTGTGCTACTCCCTTTTATTCTATTGGCTTTTGAAAGCCAATAGAATAGACTCTCTTGAATAGAGTCTAATTCTATGGGCTTTCAAAAGCCAATAGGAATTGTCCAGGCTGTCTCTGCCCTACTGAGCCCGCCAAAAGTCCCATTCTGCAAACGGTGCTGCACCAATTGAGTAGTCCTCGACTTACGACCGGTTGAGTAGTCCTCAACTTACGACCGGTTGGGGGGTCACGGCATTAAAAAGGTTGAGAACCACTGCTCTACAGTCCTGGGATTTCTTGCTGGTCACCTGTCCAATTACTATGGACACCTGTTCCTGCTGAGCTTTTTCTAGATCAGCCATGGTTGGCTATGTGCTGCTACCACTGTGATTAAGCTGATTAAAAAATAATAAACCATGCTTTCAGTTTTACTAGAAACAAATTTTCAGCTGAAATTTCATGACAATGAAGGGAGAAGTTAGCTCACCTAGCAGTGTTTTAACCTACATTTGTGAATAATCTTTAGGAACATTCCTACATGCAGCTTGATTTAAATTTGAAGTGACACAGATCTAAGATATTTATGTCACTCTAAGAAGAACTAAAAATCATGGTGAGATAGTGAAAATTATCATAGCACTTTGACTTAATTTTCTATATTGTATTTAGAGAATATACGGGTAGACCAACTCAAGGTTTACTAATTTCCACTCAAATCATTCCTCCAAGGCAGAACCAAAGGGTAGCTAAAAGAGTGGGTCCTCATTTGTCTCCAGTTTAATCTCTTCTCCTCTGTATCTGTGAAATAGTGCAACACACACAATGAAATTTTAAACCAGAGTTTTATCAGTTGCAAGTGCCAGTCAGGTTACAGTGGACAAAGCAAAATAAAGGAGAATCTCTGAGATATTTGAACAAAGTAAATTTAAATTTAAACAAAAATCCTTGTGTGTCTAATCACGCTTGGCCAAATAAAGCTATTTTCTATTCTATTCTATTCTATTCTATTCTATTCTATTCTATTCTATTCTATTCTATTCTATTCTATTCTATTTTATTCTGTTCTATTCTATTCCATTCCATTCCATTAATTCCAGTATAAAATTCTCCTTTGAAAATGCTGCTCTGAGACTCTATGTATGTGTATGTTAGTTACTTGTTTCCTAACATAGGATTATGAAAACATGACTTTTCTGGTTCCTCACCTGGGATGTAAAAGTTGAAGTCAACAAAAATGTCTTTTGCTCATTTTCTGCAGCAGAACAAGAATGTCAGTTTCATAACTGAATGTATATTACAGAGCACAAACATCAGGAGATTATTGTGTTTGGGAAAGTCTAATGGAGATCTGCCGCTCAGTTATGCTATTGATTGCCTTTTTTTTTTTGAATTCTTCCTATCATACATGATTTTACGAGCCATATCAGGAGAGGCCTACTTTTTATCTTGATCATTATCCAACATATGAGATAATGAAATAAGCTACCCTTTATTTCTAGAAGGAAAATGGAAAATACTTGGGTTCGATCAAGTCTACTATTTGTGAAAGCAATCCACTTCAACAGTGGTGTGTTACAAGTGGTCTTGAGCCAATTTTCATTCAAAGATTAAGTATTTCAAGAAAGGTTTCCTAAAAGCACTTTGATGTTATCAATAGCATGGATGGTTCATTAACACCATCCTTTTTTTAGTTTATTATTTATTTTTTATTTAATGAAAAAAAGCAGCATTACTAAACAAAGTCAGGAAAAGAGTAGGTAATCTTCACTTCTTCTGAAACTCCATGGAAATAATCTTTGCCCTGATCTCCTGAGGGCCCTGCAAAAACAGGTTATAGATTTGGTACTCTAGACAATAGGCAGTGAAGTATATGTTGCCTCTGGCGGGACCGTGGAAAGCACAGTGTGGAAGGTTACGTGGTCTGAGATAAATCTCAACAAGATGCCTTTACATCAGGATCTAAGGCCAACTATGATTTTAAGAAACTTTGCAAGATCAAATTCCCTTGCTAATCCATCTCAGGGTGTTATTAATAGCAATAGCAATTAGATTTATATACTGCTTCATAGTGCTTTATAGCACTCTCAAAATGATTTACACAGCATATTGTTGCAACAATCTGGGTCCTCATTTTACTGAGCTCGGAAGGATGGAAGGCTGAGTCAACCTTCAGCCAGATAGGATCAAACTGCTGGCTCTAAAGCTTTGTGAAATACTTCCTTGTTATTAACCTTGGTTGTACAGAATTCTCAACCTTTTTGAAGCCTCATAGTTGATAAAATGTAGAACCATTATCCTCTGGATTTGAGAAAACTGGGGAAGGAGCATACAACTTCAAGCTGATATGGTAAAGAAAGATGTACAAGGTGTTTTCCTGAATTGGAGTGACCTAGGATATTTAGAATCCACTGCAGGACTTCAGTGGTCGCTAGATTCTGAAAATATAATTTCCTTAATCATTTGCAAGAAATCAAGGGAAAATGCTTTGGCAAATACATCAGTGTATTGTGACATAACTGCTGATTTCAGCTGATGCATGTTCAGAAAGGAGGGAGGGAGGCTGTCTATGTTTGGTTTCTCATTTATGTATATAAAATCTTTCAGAATAACTCTGTTACTGCACCCTAACCTGAGAAACTTTTTATAGAACTGGTGTTTCCTTTTTTTCAGAATTTATTATTCATTTCTAACGATAGACAGATTGTGTGGGAGCCTTAAGATATGGAATTTTCAATAGATCCATTTGGTCATTACAGAAATGACCATATTAATGAGCATTCTTTGCAAGATTCCAAGCACAAAAATTTCTGCAATGTGTACTTCCCCTGGAGCCTAACATCTGTAGTGAACATTTGGATGCCCTGAAAAGTGAAACATAATAAATCAACTGAAGAGTTGAAAAGTCATCTATTTTATGCTTGAACAAAATGTTAATACCCTGACAGTTTGGGAATCTTTAATTTGTGGCTACTGTTGTATAGTAGAACGTAGCTCTAAGTTCCTCACCTGCCAACTTCTGTCCTTGGTTTCCTGAAAGTTGAGCATAAGAAGTAAAGTTTTTTTCAAAAGCCTTTTTATAAACCAGAGGAGCAATTAGTGGGGACTTATAACTTCCTGAATTCACATTCTGAATTATTAACTGTTATTATCTAATATTCCAACAAAGGAGATAGGAATGTCTTTCCAGTGTGAAGATCATCATTTGAATCATTTTTTTCCTGTACAGATCTAAGGAATGTTGTACATAATGCATCAAATGGGTACATGACTTTGTGTGTGAGTGAGTGTGTGTGTGTGTGTGTGTAAATTTATTAACTGCAGCAGATCAGATTTATTGAACAGGAAAGTAAGCTATCTTTTTATCTGTTCTAAATCAAAATGTATTTATATATAATATGCTTGCTGTCCAGTGTTGCAGTAACTCTATCATTTGACTTATTTGTATACTTTGTGTATAAAACCAAGCTCTGATCATTTTAGTTCCCTAAATTCTGTTCTGAGATTGCATCACATATGTGATTTAACATACAGCTGGGGATCATGGCATGCATTTCTTGAATAATGTCTTCAGAATGATAAGATTTCTTGGATTAAGTGTTGTTGCGTTGTCACAAAAACATTCATAGCTCTACTGGAAATACTTAACTCTGAATGAGGATATACAGTTCCATTTTCATGTAAAGATGCATTCAGTAAGTTTAACTGCATTCTTATTTTCTCTGTCCAGAAGCACATTCGTCTTCATAACAATCCCATTTTTGAGAATTGGAATATATACTGTACTTCACTGTAATGGACCATAGTCAGATTCCTACAATGCATGGTGCCTTACTCTTTGAACTCATATGTGTTTTTATGAAACAAGCTTTCCAAGAAAATTAGACAATTGTACTGTTTAAAATGTTATTCTATTACAACACATTGTTACTCATTTGAAGTACTGTTATTTGACAATCAAGAATGGAAGAAAAGTCATTCTACCTCTAGGCTTGAGCTGCTTTACAATTCATAATAGGACATCTCTTCTGTACTACATAAAATAGAAATAATAGCCTAGGACTAAACAACTATGAAACACCAGAATCTATCAATAAACACTCAAAGTTCTACAAGTTTAAAAAGGAGGGAAGGAAAGTGGGGTAAAGAATAGTGAAAAAATCTTTGAAAATATGAATTTCCTTTGCCATAATGTTACTCTTTTTCTTCTCTGTATAGGAGGAACCATTTGTGATGGTGTCTGAAAATGTTTTGGGCAAAACAAAGAAATATCAGGGTTTTTCAATTGATGTCCTGGAATCTTTATCTACTTACCTTGGCTTCACATATGAAATTTATGTTGCACCAGATCAGAAATATGGACTTCCACTGGAGAATGGGACTTGGAATGGACTGATAGGAGAACTAGTATTAAAGGTAAGGAGAATCCTCACCACTGACTGAAAACATACAGTGGGCAAGTCATGTATATACTTTTATTTTATATTTTAATTTCCCAATTAGTTCTAGTCATTAGACCAAGCCCAAATAAAAGGAAATTCAGTTAAATACTAGAACAGTAATTAGAACACATTTAGCTTTAAAAAGACCAAGAAAGTGGACAAGTCATTATAATACCTATGGGTGTTGCAGTGAGTCAGATTACTCTTGATAGAGTTCAAAAATATTTCTCTAGAGTGATTGGAAACTGTTTATTTAATTTAATAAAATAAATGAAGTACAATCATTATCTTTAAATAAAGATAATGATTAAGATAAAGAAGCATCTTGGGGAGGTTAATGTGTTGTGGAAAAGATGTCAGATGAAACAGTTCATCAGCCATTTCCCATTTTCTTTTACTTGTAACCTGGCCCAGATTGTTTCAAGATTTTTAACAAATGGAAAAAAGTATACTGATACATTATATACTAATACATGACCTCCAAGGTCCCTTCCAACTTGATGATGATGATGATGATGATGATAATGATGATGATGATGCAAATATGTAAATGTGTACATTGGGCACAGCAGTTGAACAGGGTGGTTCAAATAAAATGCCACCCAATGCAAAATATAGCTTCAGAGGCTATTCAAGTTCAAATGAGAATCTATGTTAAAAAAACAGACAAGAGCTTTCTTTGTTTTTCTATTACTAATGAAGAGTATAACTAGTTAGTAAACTGCTGTAGCTCTTTGCACTTACTGTATGTGGAAAAAACCCAAAGGATAGTTGGATGGATGGATGGATTGTGTCTCTGTGCATGTCAGTATGTGCGTGTGAAAGAGAGAAAGAAATAAAGAAAGAAATGTATTCTCTTTTGGAGTAAAATGCAGAGTAATGAATACTAACTAAATCAAAGAAAAGTTGAGATAGGAAAAATATATATAGCTAAATTACACTAATTGTTATACTAATAACAATCACTATATCCTATGTTTTTCTGTTCTTACAAACCATTCTTGTTTCAGCTACATCCGTATATTGCTTTTTATATTGCTTTTTTTTCAAATCCATCCATAGGTTTCTTTGTCTTCCATTCCATCTTCCCTCCCTTCCTCCCTCCCTCCCTCCCTTCCTTCCTTTCTTTTGTAATTCAGTCTTTATACATTTCCATTAAATTACAAAAATACTTCAGTGTGTTTCTTTTATATCAATCACTCAGTTTTGTATTCAATATACATCATTTAGTATACAATCATTCTTGGACCTATCTGTTTGACATTTACCGCTCACACTACTTAAGTATCACAATTCTATTGCATTCAACTTTTTCTAACAGTTCCATCTCTTACTTGTTCTTACTCTTACTTGACTAAAACATATGAAAAATCATTGCAGGAATTGAGTTTGTCTAACCTAGTGAAAAGAAGGAGTAGGGAAAACATGATAGCAGAGTTCCAATAATTGAAGGGCTGTCAGAAAGAAGAGGGGGTCAACCTATTTTCCAAAGCAACAGAAGGCAAAACAAGAAACTAATCAAGGAGAGAAGCAATCTAGAACTAAAGAGAAATTTCTTAACAGTGAGAACAATTAACCAGTGGAACAGCTTGCCTTCAGAAATTGTGGATGCTTCATCACTGGAGTCTTTTAAGAACAGATTGGACAGCCACTTGTTTGGAATGATATAGGCTCTCCTGCATGAGTAGAGATTTGGACTAGAAGATCCCCTTCCAACTGTGTTATTCTGTTTTGTTGCTTAGTTATAGTGTAAACACAATAGGAAGAATCAGATCTATAATCCTGCTTTTTGTGTCTAATTGTTTCCACTCAAGAAGGATTAAAATAGAGTCCATTAGCTAATTTACTCCTGGTGCAACCATTAGCGTAACTGATGACAGACAGTTCAGGCTTTCCTCCCATCAAGATGAAAGTTGAATAGAAGGTGCAAGGAAGTGGAAGATGCTTCTTAAAAAGGGACTAAGTTACACTGGCAGAAGGAAAATTGAATGAAGAGCTAAATTAATAAGATTGCCCCTCTCCCTTTCTTCTTTTTATACCAAGTGAAAGGGAAATTTTGGGACAATTTGATTTCTTTCTTTTTTTTCAAATATTTTATTGATTTTTAAAAAACATAAATCACTTAATGGTTGGTAAACAGTGTGTTTGCTGGGTTTACATTTGTAAAGAAAAATCATTAACAATTGGTTTCTATAATCCATAATCCACATAGTACATTTAGTTGATTTCTCCTTTTCCCAAAAATGTCTTCTTTGCGAACCTTGAAATAATACAGTTTTTATTATTTTGATAAATAACAGTTACATATATGATTTTTCCCAATATTCCTAGAAATAATGATCACATCAATATAATATTTCTTTTCTATCTAATCATTCTGGTTGCCTCATCTTATATCCTGTTACAGTCCTTATTTAGATTTGTTTCTCCCATAAAGTTCAAAGTATTCTTGCTGGTTAAGATTTTCTCAACAGTTAATTACATTTAAAGATTTAAATCCATTTTCCCCATATAAACCACCTCTTGGATCTATTTTTCCCATATAAACCACTTTTACATTTCTTAAAGAATAGGTAAAAACAGTAAAGAAAAGGAAAAGAGAGCAAGAATAAAGAAACATAAAAAGTAAAATACTACTTAAAATATATATTCCTCCTAAACTAATATATATTCATTCCCAAAATTTCTTATTCTTTTTAACCATGATTAAAAATATATTTAATCTTTAAATATTCCATTTAATGTGCCTAGTCATGTAATTCTTTAACTCTTATTCAAAACATTTTTTTCTTTTTTATACTTTATAATTTCCCTAAATTCAGACACATTTAATTATCTAAAACATTTCCTTCATCTAAGCCATTTCAACAGTATTATATTACTTATAATATAATATATATCAAGAAATAAAATAAAAAGGGGGGGAAGCATACAGCATTATTTAAGGAATTCATATCTCTTAGATTGACATATGTATTCAGAATCTTTTCTATTTCTTTAACCATATTCAAACAAATGTTTCTTTTTTAAATATTCTCTCTGGTAGATCCCATCTATTTTCTTAATTTTCACTTTGATCTTTTTCCTTTGATCAGTATCTTTCTTGATCAATGTGTTTTGCTGAATCAAAAAGTTTTTCCATATATTCATGACTGTTGCTCTAGGTATAAGAAGTAAATCGAATAAAGTATCTTTATGTGAGGCTTTTGCCTTTCCATGTTTCTTGAAAATGTTTTTCTCTTTTTCTTTGCTTCTCTTATCATTTCCTTTCTCTCTAATGTTTTTAACATCTCTACATTCCATTTTATCCAATCTGTTTTTTGTCCTCAGATTTATTTTGTAGTCTTAAGGGATGAGTTGTTTTTTTCATTTCTTGTAATTTTTTTTCCCACTAGGATTAAATCATGTTTTCTTGCTTTGTTAAGTTCCGTCTTTGAGTCTCTATTTTCAATTTTATGTCCACTTATTTGTTTTGTCTGCTCCTTCTCTGTTGTTGTTTCCTGGAAGTTTTTTTGTTATAAAGTTAACTTAGAGATAGATTGATTTGTATTTTCAAAGTTATTTTGGATTTCTTTGTGATTTGAACTCAGTGTTATTTGAATTAATTGCAGTATACTATATATCTCCTTCTGAGAGGTATTTATGTTTTCTTGGTGTGTTCTGTCTACATGTCTCTGATCCATGATGGCCAAAAGTTGGAGTTTTCCTTCTTATCTGCAAATAGCTTTAGAGTCCCAGTTAAATAGATATTTGTAATCCAAAGAGTTCAAAAAATATTTTTTTTCTAAAGTTTATAATTCTCTCTTTGTCTGCAGCCCAGATTGTTGTCTTTTGTTTTGGTCACAACTGTATTTTATTTTTAAAGCTTTGAAGGTCACAAATACAAATTAGCTTTTCCCAGGTTTTGGCAAGTTCTCTATGGAAATCATAGCTGTCATAATCTTCATTCACCACTAAGTGTCAGCATCTATTTAGTTTTCAATATGAACAATGGTCTTTAAAATGAGAGTCTTAACCATTCAACAATCTTAAACTTGTCCAAAGTTAAATTTTAGCTTTCAAGTTTATAAATTTATTTCACTACCATATATTTTGATTCTCCATAGAAATTTTAATTTGCCACTTCCTTTAGTATAAGGATGGGGTGGAAGTCCCCCTCTTTCACTTTTGCAGGCATTTTGTTTCTTGGGGAACTTTTTCAGGAAATTAAATGTAGCATAGAAAAGGGAAAATCAGATTACTCACCCAGTTTCAAGCACACTGTTTACTGTAGTGCTGGTTAGTTCTTTTGGACTCCAGTTGCAAGTAGCTTGGGCTGATTGATGAAATACAGCCTTTCTCCTGTCGGGTTAGAAGGCTTTCCCCAAGACCACCATCATTCCAGAGTCGACAGGGCACCCTTCTTTATTCACTGCCTTTCCAGAGCAGCGTGGACACATTAGGGTCTCCAGGCAAGACGAAAGTTGGCTGTGGGGTGCAAGGGTCCACAAGCCCGTGACCAGTCGCTACTACGCAGGACCGGAAGTCTCTGGGACAATTTGTTCTCCAGCATGATAGATGTAGCATCCACCGATTGGGTAATCAAAGCCCTCCTACTCAGATTTAGACTAAGACCAAACTTTAGCCACGCCTCCCTTGGGCGCTCCTTTCCCAGTTTTGTCTTAGTCTATGCTCAGAGAGGACACAGTTTTGTTAGCTCCTCAGCAATTGTTAGTTTAAATAGTGTAGCATTAGGATTGTTAATATAGCTTCCTGTAGTGTACTCTTTACATAATTTTTGTTTTTTTAGTAAAGGACAGTGAATTAGCAACCTTGGAGAGTTGCTTTCCAGAGGGCCTAATTGGCCTTGTGGATCGTCGGAGCTTTGCCGCTGAGGCAGTTTTCAGCTCAGAGTATCTGTTCAGCACACTGAGGGAGGCTTCCCTTGTGTGTGATAACAATTTTTATTGCCAGCGTTTCTGGAGAATTCAGCCG